GGAGGGGGGAGGGAGGAGGGAGGAGGGAGGAGGAGGAGGAGGAGGAGGGAGGAGGGAGGAGGGAGGAGGGAGGGCGGGTGGGAATGAGCTAGACGGCTTGTCGTCTGGAGGGTGGCTTGACCCCTCTCCCTGCCCCCTCCCCCTGGGTCTGGACGGGGGGGGGGGGCGCGGAGGTGTCAGAGGGCCTTCTGTGGCCTCGAGGAGGAAGCCCAAATCATGGACTTGTCCTGCGGTTTTGGCCACTTGGCCTTCTGGGGGGGCCCCAGTTGAGAAGAAGTCCCCCTCCTTTGATCGATCTCCTCTGAGATGAACCCAAGATCGCCCCCGAGGCTCCAAAGGGTGGCCCAAAACGGCCCCAAGAGGTGCCCAGGAGGCCCCAAGATGCCCCAAAGAGATGCCAAAACCGCCCCAAGAGTCCCCCCAAGAGGCCCCCAGGACCGCCAAGAGCCCCCAAGATGCCCCAAGAGGACTCCAAGAAGCTCTCGAAAGAAATCCGAAGAGACTCCGAGAAGCATCCAAGAGGCCTCTAGACTTTCTGATCGCCCTCCTCCTTCCTCCCTCCCTTCCCTCCTCCTCTCCCTACTCCTGCTCCTGCTCCTGCTCCTGCTCCTGGTCCTTCATCCTCCCCCTCTTGGGGTATGACGTTTGACCCAGCCTTTATTCCATGGCATGCTCCTCCACATCTCTGATCAGAACAACCCCTCACACGTTTCGTGGCCCCAAACGAAGCTCCACCTGAGGTCCCAGTGGCGCAGGTCGCATGCGTCCCGGCCACTGATTTCGCCACACCCTCACACGGTTCGTGGTCCCATGGGGAGCTCCACCGAAGTTCCCAGTGGCGCAGTTCGCATGCGTCCCGGCCACTGATTTCGCCGCACCCCTCACGCGTTTCGTGGCCCCAGACAGGGAGCTCTATCGCAGGCCCCAGTGGCAGCGCCCGCCCCATATCGGCAAACCCTTCAGACGCTTCGTGGCCCCATAAGGAGATCCACCGAAGGCGATGCCCACAACGACGGTACTCAGAACTGCATATGGTCGGGTCCTTCGCCAGGATCATGTTATTTTTCGGCGGTAGCCCAGGTCATCTAGCAGGGGAAGGGTGGGGTGGTGGTGAGCGCTTTTTTGTTTGGTGTTTCGACATTGGGAGGGGGGGAAGGGGGGTGTCTGGCTCCGGACTGCCTAAGAGGGCCCCGAGATGGTCGGAGACGCCCCAGTGCGACTGTTTGCAGCAGTGCGTCCTATGGGGGGACTCCACCTGCTCGAAATATGCGCCCAAAACAGCCAAGATCTACTCCAGGGGGGGTGCAAGGGACGGCGCCGATCGGCAAAACAATTAATAAACATGATCGACCCACGAACCCGGAAAGGAATATAGAACTGTAACACATGGCAGCGTTTTCAAAGACACCTGATTGGGTGACGGGCAAATGCAATGCTGAGTGTATCGATCTTGATGTACCCTGCCGAGGGCTGTGCTGTGCTGCGCCGTGCTGAATTGCGATGTGCCATGGCGCGACTGTGCTCTATAGCCTCGTGGATCGAGTCCTCCTTTGCATCCGAGTCCTGACCGAACTGATCTGGATCTTAAGCTCGAGCTGCCTGAACACATAGTAGCTGCCCCAGAGCTAATGGACAGGGGAACATGCCAGGAGGACGCGCCGCGAAACGTCCCAAGGGATGCGCCAGGCGACGTGCCAGGGGACGTGCCATGGGGTCGCACCGCGGGACGTGCCAAGGGGACGCGCTACGGAACGTGCCAATGGATGTGCCACGGGATGTGCCAGGGGACGCGCCACGCGACGTGCCAGGGGGACTCGCCAAAGGACGCCCCACGGAACGTGCCAAGGAACGTGCCAAGTTGCAATGCTGAGTGTATCGACCTTGATGTACCGTGCCGAAATCAGTGCTGTGCTGCGCCGTGCTGAATTGCGATGTGCCATGGCGCGATTGTGCTCTATAGCCTCGTGGATCGAGTCCTCCTTTGCATCCGAGTCCTGACCGAACTGATCTGGATCTTAAGCTCGAGCTGCCTGAACACATAGTAGCTGCCCCAGAGCTAATGGACAGGGGAACATGCCAGGAGGACGCGACGCAGAACGTCTCAAGGGACGCGCCAAGCGACGTGCCAAGGGACGTGCCATGGGGACGCACCGCGGGACGTGCCAAGGGGACGCGCTACGGAACGTGCTGGGGACAAGCGTTTCGCTCGAGACATCCTGTCAAAATCATCTGAATTCCTACGCGCGGGACGCTGCACGCGCGAGACATCCTCGGAATTCCTGCGAGCGGGACGTGAAAACAAGCATTTCGCCTGAGACATCCTTTGAATTCTGGCCCCCCACAAGGCCACCGCTCGAGACATCCTCCAATTTTGCAAAACCAGCGTTTCGCTCGAGACATCCTCTACAAATTATGAAAAACAAGCGTTTCGCTCGAGACATCCTGTCAAAATCCAAAGAAATCGAAATACCCGCGCGCGGGACGCGGCACGCGCGAGACATCCTCAGAATTCCTGCGCGAGGGGCGCTTTTCCGTGTCGCGGTCGGCTCTGCAAAACCAGCGTGTCGCTCGAGACATCCTCAACAAATTCTGAAACCAAGCGTTTCGCTCGAGACATCCCCAACTCTGCAAAACCAGCGTCTCGCTCGAGACATCCTCAACAAATTCTGAAAAGCAAGCGTTTCGCTCGAGACATCCTCAAAAATAATTTCGCCGGCCCTCTTCCCGCACGTAATTTATCGCAGAATAATTTCGCCGGCCCACCTCCCGTCGAAACCAGGGGGTAAACCAACTAAAAGAGAACCCTGGGCCTACGCCCTTTCCGGGAAAAACGATCACCTGCTGGCCGATAACCCACTCTGTTCCGCCCAAGGACAGCCCCGCGTGTGCCCGCGCGCGCCAGCACTGCGCACCCCATTCGGATCTCCGCAGCCGACGAAGCCAAATTATCCCGGGGGGGGCGAGCGGGCCGGAGAGCCCGGGTCATCGCTAGACCCTCTTGTGTAGAAAAATTAGCCTGGCGAAGGACCCAACCATATGCAGTTGTGAATACCGCCGGTGTTCGTATCGCCTTCGTTGGATCTCCTTATGGGGCCACGAAGCGCGTGAAGAGTGTGCCGAAAGGGGGCGGGGCCGCCATGCGGGCGCTGCTATTGGGCGATACGCCCTGCGACGAGGGTAGAGGAGGAGCAGGGCCATGGGGCCACGAAGCGTGTGAGGGGTGTACCGAAATGAGGCGGCACCGCCGTGCGAACTGTGCCACTGGGACCTTAGGTGGAACTCCCCATGGGCCACGAAACGTGTGAGGGGTATACCGAAACGGGGCGGCGCCGCCACGCGAACTGCGTCAATGGGCCCTTAGGTAGAGCTCCCTATGGGGCCACGAAGCGTGTGAGGGGTACGTATACCGAAATGGGGCGGCGCCGCCATGCGAACTGCGCCACTGGGACCTTGGGTGGAGCTCCCTAGGCCACGAAACGTGTGAGGGGTGAGCAGGAATGGGGCGGCGCCGCCATGCGAACTGCGCCACTGGGACCTTAGGTGGAGCTCCCTCTGGGGCCACGAAGCGTGTGAGGGGTGTGTCAAAATGGGGCGGTGCCACCATGCGAACTGCGCCAGTTGGGCCTTAGGTGGAGCTCGAAATGCGTGAGGTGTGTGTGTGTGTGTGTGCCAAAATGGGGCGGCGCCGCCATGCGAACTGCGCCACTGGGACCTTAGGTGGAGCTCTCTATGGCACCACGAAGCGTGTGAGGGGTGTGCCAAAATGGGGCGGCGCCACGCGAACTGCGCCACTGGGATCTTAGGTGGAGCTCCCTCTGGGGCCGCGAAACGTGTGAGATGACGGTAATGGTGATAATGATGACAGGAGGGGGGAGGAGGGGGAGGAGGAGGAAGAGGAGAGGAGACGAACGCGAGGGCCGTCTCTTCAAAACGAGGACCCAACACCACAGGGTGGTTTAGAAAAACGGCGTAAGAAACTTTTGGAAGTCCGCGCGGACTTCTTGGATCCGCGCTGGCGCCCCCCCCATCCCTGGCGCGCGGAGCGCACCGGGGGCGGCGCCGGAGGTGCCGCCAGGGGCCCCAGCGCAGATCCAAGAAATCCGTGCGGAGCTCCTAGACAGGCAAACTCCACTACTCGCAAAGTAACTACTCGCAAATGGCCTGGATCCGCCGCGGGAGATTTACGATGCATTACATCGAAACACACATACAGACACAGACACAGACACAGACACAGACACAGACACAGACACAGACACAGACACACACACAGACACACACAGACACACACACAACACACACAACACACACAACACACAACACCAAACACACACTTGCTTTTTTCCAGACGTTCACGAGTAGACACTCTGCGAGTAGTGGAACGCGCTCGGTGAGCTCCGACAATTTATGTTTATGCCGCCTTTTCTTCTTCGATGTGCCCAACATTAGCCTAGCGAAGGACCCAAACATATGCAGTTGTGAATACCGTCGGTGTTAGTATCGCCTTCGGTGGATCTCCTTATGGGGCCAGGAAGCGGGTGAAGAGTGTGCCGAAAGGGGGCGGGACCGCCATGCGGGCGCTGCTATTGGGCGATACGCCCTGCGAAGAGGGTAATTAGAGGAGGAGCAGGGCGGAGCTCCCCATGGGACCACGAAACGTGTGAGGGGTGTGCCAAAATGAGGCGGCGCCGCCATGCGAACTGCGCCACTGGGACCTTGGGTGGAGCTCCCTAGGCCACGAAACGTGTGCGGGGTATACCAACATGGGGCGGCGCCGCCACGCGAACTGCGCCACTGGGATCTTAGGTGGAGCTCCCTCTGGGGCCACGAAGCGTATGAGATGACGAAGATGATAATGCTGATGGGAGGAGGAGGAGGAGGAGGAGGAGGAGGAGGAGGAGAGGAAAGCGGGGACCGTCTCCCCAAAACGAGGACCCAACACCACAAGATGATTGAGAACAGTCCGAAGTCCGGGTGCCGGCGGAGACCGAGGCCGGTGCCATCCGCAGCGCTGGCGTGGGCGAGCCTCTGCCGGCGGCAGGGGCTGCCTCCCCGGCGGCAGGGGCTGGCTGACGATCGGCGGGGTGCGGCCGAAAGGCTCCTCGGGCCCGGGGCTGAGGAGGAACGGCAGGCAGGCAGGAGGAACGGCAGGCAGGCAGGAGGTGCGGCCCGAGGCTCAGGAGAAATTCGGGTGAAGATACCCTGAGATCCTGACGACTCAGTTTTTTCGAGCCGGGCGTCTTCGCTCAATTTCGAGCCCTGGGATGGGCCCTCCAGGGGCCTCCGAGACTCCCTCAAAGTCCCATCCAAAGGCCCCTAACAGACCACCGAGAGGCATCCAGAGAGACCTAACGGGAATCCAAGAGACCTCTGGCCTGTAACTCACGCACAATGGCGGGATAGCGGGATAGGCCGAAAGCCCTTCAAACGCGGCCCACGAAGGTGTAATACGCCTCCACATTTGTCCGATGCGGACTCAAGACAACTCAATATGCCCCCAAGACGGCCCCCATATGCTCCCAGGAGGCCCAACTTCTTTTGCTGTGTGTTCGAATGAATTGAGTGTTCTCGCCTTTTCGGGCTTCTGACAACCTCTGACGGCCCAAAACACCTCCAACTTGGCCACAATGCGGCCACGGCGGCCTAAAGACGGTCCGGGATGGCCACTAGGACGGCCACTATGGCTTTCAAGATGGCCAGTACAGTCAGCGTGCTAACAGAGGGAGCGCAGAATAAGGAACGGCGGGGCGTTTCTGGCCACGGCGAGCCTCGGCCACGACTGGGTTTCACGACATCGATGTAGGAGGCGGCCCAAAAACCCGAGCCCCTCCTGAGCCCAAAGCGGGTCCTTCTTTCAGCGTCTTGACTGCATGGCATCCAACACGCCTCGAAGACGTCGAGAAGCCCCGAAGAGGGTTCCGAGACGGGCCACGAGAGCACCTTAGGCCCAAGACGGCCTCAAGACGGCCCCAGGCACCTCCAAGACAAATGGTCCCAAGAGGGCCCCAAAGCGGCCTAGTAGGGTCTCCTGGTCCAAATGCGGCAAGTCATCACGATCCTGGCATCTTCAGAACGCCCGTGGCGAGGCGAAGCTCATGGGAACCGTCCCTGGCACCGCAAACATGATCGACCCACGAACCCGGAAAGGAATCTATAAATGCAAGACATGGCAACGTTTCAAAGACACCTGATTGGGCGACGGGCAAATGCAATGCTTAGTGTATCGATCTTGATGTACCGTGCCGAGGGCTGTGCGGTGCTGCGCCGCGCTGAACTGCGATGTGCCATGCCACGATTGTGCTCTATAGCGTTGTGGATCGAGTCCTCCTTTGCATCCGAGTCCTGACCGAACTGATCTGGATCTTAAGCTCGAGCTGCCTAAGCACATAACTAGTAGCTGCCCCAGAGCTGATTGACAGGGGAACCTGCCAGGAGGACGCGCCGCAGAACGTCCCAAGGGACGCGCCAGGCGACGTGCCAGGGGACGTGCCATGGGGACGCACCGCGGGACGTGCCAAGGGGACGCGCTACGGAACGTGCCAATGGACGTGCCACGGGACGTGCCAAGGGACGCACCAAGCGAGGTGCCAGGGGACGTGCCACGGGGACGCACCGTGGGACGTGCCAAGGGGACGCGCTACGGAACGTGCCAATGGACGTGCCACGGGACGTGCCAGGGGACGCGCCGCGCGACGTGCCAGGGGAACTCGCCACAGGACGCGCCACGGAACGTGCCAAGTTGCAATGCTGAGTTTATCGATCTTGATGTACCGTGCCGAGGGCTGTGCTGTGCTGCGCCGTGCTGAACTGCGATGTGCCACGTGACGATTGTGCTCTATAGCGTTGTGGATCGAGTCCTCCTTTGCATCCGAGTCCTGACCGAACTGATCTGGATCTTAAGCTCGAGCTGCCTGAGCACATAGTAGCTGCCCAAGAGCTAATTCACGGGGGGGCATGCTAGGAAGACGCGCCGCGGAACGTTCCAAGGGACGCGCCAGGCGAGGTGCCAGGGAACGTGCCATGGGGACGCACCGCGGGACGTGCCAAGAGGACGCGCTACGGAACGTGCCAATGGACGTGCCACGGGACGTGCCAAGGGACGCGCCGCGCGACGTGCCAGGGGGACTCGCCACAGGACGCGCCACGGAACGTGCCAAAGAACGTGCCAGGTTGCAATGCTGAGTGAGTGTATCGATCTTGATGTACCGTGCCGAGGGCTGTGCTGTGCTGCGCCGTGCTGAACTGCGATGTGCCATGCCGCGATTGTGCTCTATAGCGTTGTGGATCGAGTCCTCCTTTGCATCCGAGTCCTGACCGAACTGATCTGGATCTTAAGCTCGAGCTGCCTGAGTACATAGTCCACGTAGTAGCTGCCCCAGAGCTAATTGACAAGGAAACATGCCAGGAAGACGCGCCGCGGAACGTTCCAAGGGACGCGCCAGGCGACGTGCCAGGGGACGTGCCACGGGGACGCACCGCGGGACGTGCCAAGGGGACGCGCTACAGAACGTGCTGGGGATAAGCGTCGTGTTGGTGGCCTGGACACGTAAAAACACGGTGCCAGCTCGGGACAACCATGAAAGATATCCCCAGGGTGGCCTGGACACGTACAAACACGCGGTTCCAGCTCGGGACAATCATGTTAGAGATCTCCCTGGGTGGCCTGAGCATGAAATTACACTACACCCGCGCTCCCAGGGCCACGATCCCTCGTAAATTACGCTACGTCAGCGCTCCCAGGGCCACGATCCCTCGTAAGGGCTCCTGGGCCCTCCTGGGTCTTCCTTGGACCTCTTGGGCCCTCCTGGGCTCTCCTGGAGCCTCCTGGAGCTTCTCCTGGGCCCTCCTTGGGCCCCCTGGTGCCTCTTGGAGCCTCCTGGGTCCTCCTGGGCCCTCCTGGGCTCTCCTGGGCCCTCCTGGGCTCTCCTGGGCTCTCCTGGAGCCTCCTGGGCCCTCCTGGGCGAAGTCAAGGTCCGAAAACACATGGGACTTGCCACATTTCTGAAATTCGGTGCCACCCCTCACGCAGGTCGGCGGGGTCAGGATCCGAAAACACATGGGATTTGCCACATTTCTGGAATTCCGTGCCACCCCTCACGCAGATCGGCGGGGTCAGGGTCCAAAAACACAAGGGATTTGCCACATTTCTGGAATTCCGTGCCACCCCTCACGCAGATCGGCGGGGTCAGGGTCCAAAAACACAGGGGATTTGCCACATTTCTGGAATTCCGCGCCACCCCTCACGCAGATCGGCGGGGTCAGGGTCCAACATGATGGACCCACGAACCCGGAAAGGGATAAAGACATGTGCAGCATGGTCACGTTTTCACGATACCCAACTGGGCGACATCTCACGAAACATCCCACGAGACACCCCGCGAAACATCCCACGAGACACCTCACGAAACATTCCACGAGACACCTCACGAAACATTCCACGAGACACCCCGTGAAACATTCCACGAGACACCCCACGAACAGGCAACCACTCAACCAGACACGCCACGAAACATTCCACGGGGGTGCGACTGGGTGTGGTCGTGCTGGGGTGTGGTCGTGCTGGGGTGTGGTCGTGCTGGGGAGTGGTCGTGCTGGGGTGTGGTCGTGCTGGGGGTGGTCGTGCTGGGGGGTGGTCGTGCTGGGGGGGTGGTCGTGCTGGGGGGTGGTCGTGCTGGGGCGGTCGTGCTGGGGCGTGGTCGTGCTGGGGCGTGGTCGTGCTGGGGCGTGGTCGTGCTGGGGTGTGGTCGTGCTGTGGTGAGGTCGTGCTGGGGTGTGGTCGTGCTGGGGTGTGGTCTTGCTGGGGTAGGGTCGTGCTGGGGTCGGGTCGTGCTGGGGTGTGGTCGTGCTGGGGTATGGTCGTGCTGGGGTGGGGTCGTGCTGGGGTGGGGTCGTGCTGGGGTCTGGCCGTGCTGGGGTGTGGTCTTGCTGGGGTATGGTCGTGCTAGGGTGGGGTCGTGCATTTCGCTCGAGACATCCTGCCAAAATGCCAGGAAATCGTACAAAAACAAACGAATTAGTCGAGACATCATCGAAATTTCTGCGCGCGGGGCGCTTTTCCGCGTCGCGGTCGGCTCTGCAAAACCAGCGTGTCGCTCGAGACATCCTCAACAAATTCTGAAACCAAGCGTTTCGCTCGAGACATCCCCAACTCTGCAAAACCAGCGTCTCGCTCGAGACATCCTCAACAAATTCTGAAAAACAAGCGTTTCGCTCGAGATATCCTCAAAAATAATTTCGCCGGCCTCCTTCGACCTCGATATTTATCAGGGAATAATTTCGCCGGCCTCCTTCAAGTTGGGCACGGGGGACTATGTTTACATACTAAAAGAGAACCCTGGGCCCACGCCCTTTCCAGGAAAAACACAAGGGATTTGATACATTTCTGGTATTCCGTGCCACACCTCACGCATATCGGCGGGGTCAGGGTAGAACATGATCGACCCACGAACCCGGAAAGGAATATAGAACTGTAACACATAGCAGCGTTTTCAAAGACACCTGATTGGGTGACGGGCAAATGCAATGCTGAAGGTATCGATCTTGATGTACCGTGCCGAAATCTGTGCTGTGCTGCGCCGTGCTGAATTGCGATGTGCCATGGCGCGATTGTGCTCTATAGCCTCGTGGATCGAGTCCTCCTTTGCACCCGAGTCCTGACCGAACTGATCTGGATCTGAGGCTCGAGCTGCCTGAACACACAGTAGCTGCCCCAGAGCTAATGGACAGGGGAGCATGCCAGGAGGACGCGCCGCGAAACGTCCCAAGGGATGCGCCAGGCGACGTGCCAGGGGACGTGCCATGGGGTCGCACCGCGGGACGTGCCAAGGGGACGCGCTACGGAACGTGCCAATGGATGTGCCACGGGATGTGCCAGGGGACGCGCCACGCGACGTGCCAAGGGGACTCGCCAAGGCACGCCCCACGGAACGTGCCAAGGAACGTGCCAAGTTGCAATGCTGAGTGTATCGATCTTGATGTACCGTGCCGGAATCTGTGCTGTGCTGCGCCGTGCTGAATTGCGATGTGCCATGGCGCGATTGTGCTCTATAGCCTCGTGGATCGAGTCCTCCTTTGCATCCGAGTCCTGACCGAACTGATCTGGATCTTAAGCTCGAGCTGCCTGAACACATAGTAGCTGCCCCAGAGCTAATTGACAGGGGGACATGCCAGGAGGACGCGCCGCGGAACGTCTCAAGGGACGCGCCAAGCGACGTGCCAAGGGACGTGCCATGGGGACGCACCGCGGGACGTGCCAAGGGGACGCGCTACGGAACGTGCTGGGGACAAGCGTTTCGCTCGAGACATCCTTTCAAAATCCTTAGAATTCCTGCGCGCGGGACGCGGCAAGCGCGAGACATCCTTGGAATTCCTGCGAGCGGGACGTGAAAACAAGCATTTCGCCTGAGACATCCTCTGAATTCTGGCCCCCCACAGGCCCCCGCTCGAGACATCCTCCAATTTTGCAAAACCAGCGTTTCGCTCGAGACATCCTCAACAAATTATGAACAACAAGCGTTTCGCTCGAGACATCCGGCCAAAATTCTAAGAAATCCTGGCAAAACACATGAATTAGCCAAGACATCCTCGAAATTCGAAACATCCTCGGAATTCCTGCGAGCGGGACACGGACACAAGCATTTCGCCTGAGACATCCTCTGAATTCTGGCCCCCCACGAAGCCCCCGCTCGAGACATCCCCACATTTTGCAAAACCAGCGTTTCGATCGAGACATCCTCAACAAATTATGAAACATGATGGACCCACGAACCCGGAAAGGGATAAAGACATGTGCAGCATGGTCACGTTTTCACGATACCCAACTGGGCGACATCTCACGAAACATCCCACGAGACACCCCGCGAAACATCCCACGAGACACCTCACGAAACATTCCACGAGACACCTCACGAAACATTCCACGAGACACCCTTTGAAACATTCCACGAGACACCCCACGAACAGGCAACCACTCAACCAGACACGCCACGAAACATTCCACGGGGGTGCGACTGGGTGTGGTCGTGCTGGGGTGTGGTCGTGCTGGGGTGTGGTCGTGCTGGGGAGTGGTCGTGCTGGGGTGTGGTCGTGCTGGGGGTGGTCGTGCTGGGGGGTGGTCGTGCTGGGGGGGTGGTCGTGCTGGGGGGTGGTCGTGCTGGGGCGTGGTCGTGCTGGGGCGTGGTCGTGCTGGGGCGTGGTCGTGCGTGCTGTGGTGAGGTCGTGCTGGGGTGTGGTCGTGCTGGGGTGTGGTCTTGCTGGGGTAGGGTCGTGCTGGGGTCGGGTCGTGCTGGGGTGTGGTCGTGCTGGGGTATGGTCGTGCTGGGGTGGGGTCGTGCTGGGGTGGGGTCGTGCTGGGGTCTGGTCGTGCTGGGGTGTGGTCGTGCTGGGTATGGTCGTGCTAGGGTGGGGTCGTGCATTTCGCTCGAGACATCCTGCCAAAATTCCAGGAAATCGTACAAAAACAAAGGAATTAGTCGAAACATCATCGAAATTCCTTCGCGCGGGGCGCTTTTCCGCGTCGCGGTCGGCTCTGCAAAACAAGCGTTTCGCTCGAGACATCCTCGGCAAACTCTGCGGAGCAAGCGTTTCGCTCGAGACATCCTCAACACACGAAAAAGTGGCCCGCACCCTGTGATTTATCGATCGGGATTTCAAAAACAAGCGTTTCGCTCGAGACATCCTCAAATTTTAATTCGCCGGCCTCCTTCGACCTCGTTATTTATCAGGGAAAAAATTCGCCGGCCTCCCTCAAGTTGGCACCGGGGGACAGGTTTACCTACTAAAAGAGAACCCTGGGCCCACGCCCTTTCCGGTAACAAACGAATTAGTCGAGACATCATCGAAATTCCTTCGCGCGGGGCGCTTTCCGCGTCGCGGTCGGCTCTGCAAAACAAGCGTTTCGCTCGAGACATCCTCGGCAAACTCTGCGGAGCAAGCGTTTCGCTCGAGACATCCTCAACACACGAAAAAGTGGCCCGCACCCTGTGATTTATCGATCGGGATTTCAAAAACAAGCGTTTCGCTCGAGACATCCTCAAATTTTAATTCGCCGGCCTCCTTCGACCTCGTTATTTATCAGGGAAAAAATTCGCCGGCCTCCCTCAAGTTGGCACCGGGGGACAGGTTTACCTACTAAAAGAGAACCCTGGGCCCCCGCCCTTTCCGGGAAAAAAAAACAGCGTTTCGCTCGAGACATCCGGTCCGGGAAAAACAAGCGTTTCGCTCGAGACATCCGGTCAAAATTCTAAGAAATCCTGACAAAACAAACGAATTAGTCGAGACATCCTCGAAATTCCTGCGCGCGGGACGCGGCCCGCGCGAGACATCCTTGGAATTCCCGCGAGCGGGACACGAAAACAAGCATTTCGCCTGAGACATCCTCTGAATTCTGGCCCCCCGCTCGAGACATCTCCAAATTTTGCGGAAACCAGCGTTTCGCTCGAGACATCCTCCACAAACTATGTAAAATAAGCGTTTCGCTCGAGACATCCTGCCAAAGTTCTAAGAAATCCTGACAAAACAAGCGAATTAGTCGAGACATCCTCGAAATTCCTGCGCGCGGGACGCGGCACGCGCGAGACATCCTCGGAATTCCTGCGCGCGGGGCGCTTTTCCGAGTCGCGGTCGGGGCTCCAGACCCCGTTATTTTTCGAGGATTCTGCGAAAAACGCTCCGCACCCTCTTTTTTACGAGGGAAAGCGGGGGTCTGCGGACCCCGTTATTTATCGAGGATCCGAGATGGGGGGCGAACTTTCCTCGAGCGGGCACGCACAAAACGCACTTTTTCTAAAAAAATAAGCACTTTACCTCGTTATTTATCGCAAATAATTTCGCCGGCGCTTGACCCGTCAGATCCGGGGGTAAACGGCTAAAAGAGAACCCTGGGCCCGCGCCCTTTCCGGGAAAAACACAGGGGATTTCTGCTATTTCTGAACTTATGCAACTTCAAGAATCCAAAACTCCTTTCCCAGCGCCGTTCCGGAGGCCGCGGTACCCCGTTATTTATCGAGCGTGCGCGTTTACTTCGTTTTTTATCGTTTAAAGTCGATGTCGGACAAAAAGTGGACTTCACCTGTGAAATACCAAGGTTTCCTTAAATGCAGTAAAATTCCAAGAGCACGATCTGCGTGAGGGGTGGCGAAAAATTGCCTTCGTCCTCACAATTGAAATCCGCCGGCCCCCTTCGACCTCGTAATTTATCGCACAAGAACTCCGCCGGCCCCCTTCAAGTAAAAACCGGGGGGTAGACCCACTAAAAGAGAACCCTGGGCCCACGCCCTTTCCGGGAAAAAGGGGAAACCTTCGATCACCTTCGGAAGATGCCCGAAACCTTTCTGCACACGCCAGGATTGGAGGCGGCCGGGGAGTCTGAACTGGCTGGGGGGCCCGAGAAGAAAATCGGTCAGGAGGGGGGGTGAGGCCAAATCCGTTCAAAATCGGCCCCTGGACCCCTCCCGGGGTCATCTCCTGGGGTCCATCTGGTGCAATTTTTCGTGCGGAATCCGTTTCTGACGGTCCCGGGGCCCGAAAAAGGCTCCCGGGACGGAAAAAAACAGTAACAAATTACCTCTTGAAACCAGCGCCTCGAACGTGCCCCCCCCGTTCCTGCTCGCCGGCACCAGTGCTGAGCCACCTCAAACCCCCAGCCTGCCTCCGACCTGCTCGGGCGGGTGGTCATGGGGGGGGGGTGACCTGCGTGGGGGGTGGAAATAAAAAGCCCTCAAGGCGCCCTCCAGGGCACCTGCTGGCTCCAAGTAGGGGCCCCGTAGGGCCTCTTGAAGGGCCGCTTCTTCACCCCACCCCCAAAGTTAGGCTGGCCATACCCTCCTGCAGGCGGATGCTGGCAGGCAAGCGGCACATACTCAACGAACCCGTCCAGACAAAAAACAAGAGGAGCACGGAACCTCTTCACCATAGTAGGTGTTTCTGCTGTTCTGGACCCCTGTTCCCGTAGAGGGACATGCCCGACTCCACCCCGGGCCTGTAGAGCCGCCCACCCCGCAGCGCGCAGAGGGGGGCCGCGGCCGAGCGCGGCGTGCCCAGACCCCCGACGTCGAGGTTGTCTCACAGCGCAACCCCCACAGGTCCCTCCTCCCTCCTCCTCCCTCCTCCTCCCTCCTCCTCCCTCCTCCCCCCTCCTCCTCCCTCCTCCTCCCTCCTCCGCCCGCCGCAGGGGAGAGGCCGCGCTCCCGGGCCGCGGGCAGGCGAACGGCGGCGGGGCCGGCTGCACCTCGCGGAGAGGGGCGCTCGCCGATGACGCCCAGCTCCCGCCTTCTTGAAGAAGGGGGCTGGGCGGGGGGCCATAAACCAGCCGGACCTGCAGCGCCCAAAACCAAACCATGGTAATTTGTTTGAAACGTGAAATCCATTAGGAAACTCGATAAACGCTTCAAATCATTTCAATTTATCGACACTGCGAACAGACGAGAACGGAATACGTAATTTTGTTGCAGTTAGAATCTTCTTGTCATGGCATTTTTCCAGAAACGTTCCCCTTCTCTGTCCGTCGCTTGGGCGTCCATTCCCCGCGTAGGTGTTGTGTTTCTTGCTTGCTACATATATTATATTCCTCTTCCTATATTTTTACGAGCCCGGGGGGGGGGGAAACCCGTCCCCCCCCCCAAAAAAAACATGATCGACCCACGAACCCGGAAAGGAATATAGAACTGTAAGACATGGCAGTGTTTTCAAGAAACACCTGATTGGGTGACGGGCAAATGCAATGCTGAGTGTATCGATCTTGATGTACCCTGCCGAGGGCTGTGCTGTGCTGCACCGTGCTGAATTTCGATGTGCCGTGCCGCGAACGTGCTCTATAGCGTCATGGATCGAGTCCTCCTTTGCATCCGAGTCCTGGCCGAACTGATCTGGATCTTAAGCTCGAGCTGCCTGAACACATAGTAGCTGCCCCAGAGCTGATGGACAGGGGAGCATGTCAGGAGGACGCGCCGCGAAACGTCCCAAGGGATGCGCCAGGCGACGTGCCAGGGGACATGCCATGGGGTCGCACCGCGGGACGTGCCAAGGGACGCGCTACGGAACGTGCCAATGGATGTGCCACGGGATGTGCCAGGGGACGCGCCACGCGACGTGCCAGGGAGACTCGCCAAGGGACGCGCCACGGAACGTGCCAAGTTGCAATGCTGAGTGTATCGATCTTGATGTACCGTGCCGAATTTTTGTGCTGTGCTGCGCCGCGCTGAATTGCGATTCGCCATGCCGCGATTGTGCTCTATAGCCTCGTGGATCGAGTCCTCCTTTGCATCCGAGTCCTGACCGAACTGATCTGGATCTTAAGCTCGAGCTGCCTGAACACATAGTAGCTGCCCCAGAGCTAATTGACAAGGGGACATGCCAGGAGGACGCGCCGCGGAACGTCTCAAGGGACGCGCCAAGCGACGTGCCAAGGGACGTGCCATGGGGACGCACCGCGGGACGTGCCAAGGGGACGCGCTACGGAACGTGCTGGGGAAAAGCGGTTCGCTCGAGACATCCTATCAAAATCCAAGGAAATCCTGGCAAAACGAACTAATTAGTCGAGACATCCTCGAAAGTCCTGCGCGCGGGACGCGGCACGCGCGAGACATCCTCGGAATTCCTGCGAGCGGGACGTGAAAACAAACATTTTGCCTGAGACATCCTCTGAATTCTGGCCCCCCACGAGGCCCCCGCTCGAGACATCCCCCGATGTTGCAACACCAGTGTTTCGCTCGAAACATCCTCAACAAACTATGACAATTTTGCAAAACCAGCGTTTCGCTCGAAACGTTTTCAACAAATTATGAAAGGCAAGCATTTCGCTCGAGACATCCTGCCAAAATTCAAAGGAATCCTGGCAAAACAAACGAAATAGTCGAGACATCCTCGAAATTCCTGCGCGCGGGACGCGGCACGCGCGAAACATCATCGGAATTCCTGCGCGCGGGGCGCTTTTCCGCGTCGCGGTCGGCTCTGCAAAACCAGCGTTTCGCTCGAGACATCCTCCAAAAGTTATGAAAACAAGCATTTCGCTCGAGACATCCCCAACTCTGCAAAACCAACGTTTCGCTCGAGACATCCTCAACAATGTATGAAAAACAAGCGTTTCGCTAGGGACATCCTCAAAAACATGCCAGGAGGACGCGCCGCGAAACGTCCCCAGGGACGCGCCAGGCGACGTGCCAAGGGACGTGCCATGGGGTCGCACCGTAGGCCGTGCCAAGGGGACGCGCTACGGGACATCCTCAAAATTCCTGCGCGCGGGACGTGGCACGCGCGAGACATCTTCCGAATTCCTGCGAGCGGGACGTGAAAACAAGCATTTCGCCTGAGACATCCTCTGAATTCTGGCCCCCCACGAGGCCCCCGCTCGAGACATCCCCAAGTTTGCAGAAACCAGCGTTTCGCTCGAGACATCCTCAACAAATTATGAAAAACAAGCGTTTCGCTCGAGACATCCGGTCAAAATTCTAAGAAATCCTGACAAAACAAACGAATTAGTCGAGACATCCTCGAAATTCCTGCGCGCGGGACGCGGCCCGCGCGAGACATCCTTTGAATTCCCGCGAGCGGGACACGAAAACAAGCATTTCGCCTGAGACATCCTCTGAATTCTGGCCCCCCGCTCGAGACATCTCCAAATTTTGCGGAAACCAGCGTTTCGCTCGAGACATCCTCCACAAACTATGTAAATTAAGCGTTTCGCTCGAGACATCCTGCCAAAGTTCTAAGAAATCCTGACAAAACAAGCGAATTAGTCGAGACATCCTCGAAATTCCTGCGCGCGGGACGCGGCACGCGCGAGACATCCTCGGAATTCCTGCGCGCGGGGCGCTTTTCCGAGTCGCGGTCGGGGCTCCAGACCCCGTTAGTTTTCGAGGATTCTGCGAAAAACGCTCCGCACCCTCTTTTTTACGAGGGAAAGCGGGGGTCTGCGGACCCCGTTATATATCGAGGATCCGAGATGGGGGGCGAACTTTCCTCGAGCGGGCACGCACAAAACGCACTTTTTCTAAAAAAATCAGCACTTTACCTCGTTATTTATCGCAAATAATTTCGCCGGCGCTTGACCCGTCAGGACCGGGGGGTAAACAGCTAAAAGAGAACCCTGGGCCCAAGCCCTTTCCGGGAAAAACTTGACCCCCGGGATCTGGGGTTCTCGGGCTCCCTTGGACGTCCTTGGAAAAGGTCACCCGGCTTTCCGGGTCTCCACAAACGCCTTGCCAGCAGACCCAGAGCGATCCGAGGGGTCATCAGAAAGGCTCAAGGGAGGCCCCAGACAGAACAAGAGCGCTCCAAGAGGGACTCCAATTGCGTCAGGACGGCCCAAAAGACCCCAAGGCACCCCAAAAAGCTTTCCAAGGGGCCTTCGTAAAACTTACAATTTTAGCATATTCGCCTTTCGGATTTCATCAGCTTTCAAGACGGTTTCAAAGCCCCCGAGATCGCCTCCAGACGCCCCAAAAGGCCCCCAAGAAAGCTTCAAGACGGCCGAGCCGGGCCCCACGATCGCCCACGAGAGCCCCAAGACAGCCCACAGTGGAACCAAGAGGCCCCCCAGGGCTCCCAGCACAGACCCAAAAGGGCCATGGGAGGTCCCCGGAAGTGCCCAAGATGGGTCCAAAGGGGGCTCCAGCGGGCCCAAGCTCCCCAAGACGGCCCGAGAAGGCACCAGGACGGCCCATGAAGGCGCCAAAACGGCCCACGAGGGCCCCGAAAACACCCCCACGATGTTTCCGAATGCCAACATCAAGACCCCCAAGGCATCCCAAAAAGCTTTCCAAGAGGCCTTCAAACTACACGAATCGTCCCATTCCCTTCGTAGAACTTACAATTTTTGCATATTCGCATTCTGGATTTCATCAGCTTTCAAGACGGTTTCAAAGCCCCCGAGATCGCCTCCAGACGCCCCAAAAGGCCCCCAAGAAAGCTTCAAGACGGCCGAGCCGGGCCCCACGATCGCCCACGAGAGCCCCAAGACAGCCCACAGTGGAACCAAGAGGCCCCCCAAAGGCTCCCAGCACAGACCCAAAAGGGCCATGGGAGGTCCCCGGCAGTGCCCAAGATGGGTCCAAAGGGGACTCCAGCGGGCCCAAGCTCCCCAAGACGGCCCAAGAAGGCCCCAGGACGGCCCATGAAGGCGCCAAAACGGCCCACGAGGGCTCCGAACACACCCCCACGATGTTTCCGAATGCCAACA